CCCCAAAACCCCAAAACCCCACTATACTGAATAGTAAATATTATGAAATTAAGTAACTTAAAATGAAAAATACTTAATAATAGTGAATAGGATAATAATTAATCACCAAGTTATTTGCTAGATTACTATCTCAAATCAAGATTCTTTGAATCCATTTTACTCTATCTCATTCCCCCTCGTAGACATACTAATTTTTGAAGAAGTGGTCTTTCCTATTTTTGACATCATCCATATTTTTCTTCTGGCTTTCTCTTCGGCGCATCAACTCATTGTAACTCAAGTCTAGCATATTTCCGTCATCATCGTAAAGTCTCTCGCTTTCCGACTGAATCTTCATTGCTGCCATCTGAAGGTAGTTGGCTCTTGAATGCAAAAGCTTTTTAATCTTAGTTTGCTACTGCTTAGTCATCATTGAGAAATCTAGATTACGTTTGAGTATCAAGCCTGTGTTATTAGTGGATACCTCGTCGTTATCAAATATGTGGCCATCTTTAAGTATTGTTCCATTATAGAATGGATTGTTCGAGGGCATATCATAGTGTTTAATAGGTGGGCAGTATGAAAGTTGGTGATTCCCGCTGCTCATTTTAGTCTTAGAATTGAACTTAACACTAGGAGATATATTATTATTGAGACGTTGGTTGCTTTAATGTACACTAGTCATGGCTTTAGTTGATATTCCATGGTTGTTTTGAATTGATGGAGTAGAGGATGATAAGTATTAACTACCTCCCTTAATATACTTGGGAGAATTGGTTTCATGAATTGATTAAGTTTAATTGGCATAGACACCTTAATTGGCAGCTACAATGTTTAGAGCTGGATTGATATTGACTGACATGTAATGAGCAGCTCCACTGGCACTTCTGTGAGTAAAGAATTTCATGTTGGCACTCATTTAACTTTACTCATTCATCTATGCACTTTAGTTATCAGCCTGTGCTTTTTGAATTAGTTTTCGCTCAAAGATGTTTCGCACATTAACTTGCTAAGACATGTTAAAATTCAGGATTCCAAGCCCTGAATTACTTCTAAAAGCTACCCCTCCCGCTGTCTAAAAATCGCCCCCTAGGTTCTTTAGATTTATTATCTTCTTAGATTTCTTTTAGGTACCCTCACGGTTCTTGATTGAACGGCCATTGATGTCAATGCCATGCTAGGTATCTTTTACCTCTCTGTTGATTAATTCCTGCATTTTCAAAGGACAATTCGGTCTTAACTCTGCTAATGCGTTTTAAGTAGAAATATCAGTTTAAGTTGAATCTCCATCATTGTTAGTTTTATCTTAGATCTGTCCACTGCTGATGAAAATGCCTCTATGTGATTCAGTCTCATCTTTCTTCAAGTTCTGATAGTAATTAACCATAACATCACCCACTTTCTTTCTAACTTGATATTCTCTTTGCTATTTCGGATTAATAGCTTAGGATGCCAGAAGTGATTACTATTTAGCCAAAGAATGTAAATAATGTGGAGGCATACTACTAGCAAGTGATGAGTTACTTCCTAGTCCATAATTATTGTTGGATGGCTTAAGCTAGTCGTGATCCTTGTGATATAGCTGATATTAAAGTGTCTTCTATCTGATATCACTGACTTCTCTCCTCAATTCCTCAATGTTGATCTGCTTGCCTCTTTGAGACTTATGCAGGAACACCAAATCAGTGAGCTCTTTATCAACTGCTCTGGCAATGTCCTTCTCCTCTTTTGCTTGCTTTTTGCTCTTGTTCGGTGAGTTATTCATCGTCTCTAAGATTTGATTCTCTATTTACTCATCTTTCTGGTTCCTCGTAGATTGAGTCAGGTATTAGCCTACACCTTAACTTCCAATATCAAAATTCAGTCCCTATCTTGCTGCAGCTGACATAAGGAAATTCTCCTTTTAAACAGTCCTAATCCAGATCTCACTGGCATTAAACAACCATATCTTCCCGTATTCATCCTGATAGAACTCTACCTTCATTCTGAGAAGTTGCTTGTCATGGATCTTCAGCAGGTAAAAACCCATTTTATGGCAAACCTTCAGGCAGTATGCAGTTGGAGAGTTTTGCATTAGATTAGAATCATTGTTTATACCAAACTACTTGAAATCAAAGTCAATATCACCGTCATAGGACTAGACGATATTCCCAGTGACTGGGTCCTTTTTGTAGCATGGAGCATTAAAAGTAAAGTTGAAGGGCTTTCCGAGTCCAATCTTACTCTTGATAGTTGTCTAGATAGAGTCAATTTACAACCAGAATTAGTCATTAGCTCTCCTCTTGAACTCGTTGATAAATTCTGTGTCTGACAGCACTCTCACATAACTCTCATCCTTCTTCTCACTTTTAAATCTTATTAGAATTGCATCTTTGTAGTACATCTTGCTAGTAGGTGAACCAGCGCCATTTTCATTTTATCCATCAGACTAATTAGTCAACAGATTTTAATTGCTCGAACTAGATTAGAGTCCCATTTGCATTTACTGCAGATTACTAAGCAGTCCTAGACCTTCAGCAAATGGATCTGCCTCCTTCTTCCTCTCCCTCACTATAATGCTGAAAGTTCTCCTCAGCTCCTATAGATTCATCTTCTGTTTGTTTTGTAATAAAAACCCTTCCTTATCAGTCTTTACAATTAACTTGATCTTTCCTTAGTCGAAAATAGCAGTATCCGGCATCCAGAGCTCACAGCCGCAGATTTTATCATTAGGGGCTAGCAGATGCTCAATCAACCATTGAAATGACTGCTTCTCAAACTTGATACGGCCATCGCCTAGCTCTAAGGTGTTTTCAGCAGCACTTGTTAAAATATCTCCATTATACCCTAAAGTATTCTAAGCCTGTTAGGATACTTTGTAGATTGCCTCGCTTCCTTCTTAAGCAGATGCCGTGCTCCCATTTCTAGTATGACTGGTACTCTGATTATCTTATCCACCTCCTACAGCTGTGACACTTATCTGTCCTTTTAAGTGCGATATCTATTGCTATTACAATGCAGCAATGAAGTCCTTGGGCTGCTTATCTTTTAACTCTTTTTTCTTACCCAAATTCACCCCCATATTATGATCTAATTGTGTAGCTGCAAAGGATCTGAAGTTAACTTCATCTTAAAATGCCTTTATAGCATTAACATCACCAGCTCTTCTAAGTCTGCTCAAATGAGACTTACACACTGTGCATTAGCAGCCAAACGACAAGCAGGGGTCTTGTTGAGACTTGCCTCATTCCTTCATTAAACCATTGCCCTTAGACATCTTCAACTTCGATTAAGCTTATTTCTTCTGAGTCATAAACATGTTGCTAATTGGGTTAATGGTTCTCACCTAGGATGGCGACTGTATTTCACTGTCATTGTTAATGCCATTTTGATTGTTAGCAAGAGCATTAGCCTACTGTGGCTGTTAGGATGACTAAGCATTTGCAGGTGGCTTTAATATAGGTTTCATTTTAATTTTATTTTAATAAAACTAATAATTCCAAAATGAATGCGAACGGCTTTACAAGTACTTATTTAAATTTAATAACCCTTTCACAGTGAAACATGGTCATAAAGACCCAGATCACACAACTAGCTAAGACCAGGAGAATTATTACGAGTACTACTATGGAATGAACAATGCCAAGACCTTTGACTAGCAGGAAAGCTCAATGAAATACGAAGCACAGGAGAAAATGATCGTAGTGAGGCCAATCGACAAAAACTATCAGCAATCTGTAGTTCAGTCAACTGCATACATTAATCAAAAGGGAGGCACTCAACATAGATACACGAACTCACTGTTTTCTCCAAGCAACCAGCCATAGTTTAGAACTCCGTAGCAGGCCTTGAGAGAAAACAAGAACGAGCTCAACAAAGCCAAAATGAGGGAGAGCTATGATGGTCAGATTTACAGATTGCCTGAGAGTTCACCGAAGTAATCTGAATACTTGATTATTCGTGATCGCACTGAAATCAAAACACATATGTGTGGATGTATTGAGATAAAAGAGAATTAAGACCCTGATTTGCTTAGTTATGACAAAGAGCAGCCAATGGACCCTGAGTATTACGAGGACAGGAATGACGAATAAAGTTTTAGTTATTGTGCAATATTTTGAAATTTTGTTATCAAACAGCAATTCAATCAAATTTAGAATTAAACTGACTTCAAATCCTTACTTCACTATCTAAATTTACTCCTTAATTGATGATTGCTTAACTGAGTTTAAAGATATAAAGAATTAATTAACGACTTAATATCTCTAATTTATTGAAGGGGTTTTGGGGTTTTGGGG